GAAGTTCTGTTAATTTTTCCTCGGAAGTTATCTGAACTTCTTTTCTGAAGTTCTCTGAACTTCTTTTCTGGAGTTCTCTGGAGCTCTCCGAACTTCTTTTCTGAAGTTCTCTGAAATTCTTCTCGGAAGTTCTCTGAACTTCATATTGGAAGTTTTCTGAACTTCTGTTTGGAAGTCACCTGGACTTCTTATCAGAAGTTCTGTTAATTTCTCTTCGGAGCTTTTGTAAACTCCTCCGCGGAAGTTTTGTGAACTTCTCCTCGGATTTTTTTGAACTTCTCCTCGGAAGTTCTCAGACTTATTTTTAAAGTTCTCTGAGTTTCTTCTCAGAAGTTCTCTGAACTTCTTCTCGGAAATTCTCTGAACTTCATCTTGGAAGTTTTCTGAACTTCTCTTTGGAAGTCCTCTGGACTTCTTGCCGGAAGTTCTGTTAATTTCTCCTCGGAAGTTTTGTGAACTTCGCCTCGTAAGTTTTGTGAACTTTTCATCGGAAGTTTTGTGAACTTCTCCTCGGAAGTTCTCTGAACTTCTTTTCTGATGTTCTCTGAACTTCTTTTCAGAAGTTCTCTGTACTTCTTCTCGGAAGTTCTCTGAACTTCATCTTGAAAGTTTTCTGAACTTCTCTTTGTAAGTCCTCCGAACTTCTTGCCGGAAGTTCTGTTAATTTCTCTTGAGAAGTTTTGTGAACTTCTCCTCAGAAGTTTTGTGAATTTAACCTTGGAAGTTATCTGAACTTCTTTTCTGAAGTTCTCAGACTTATTTTTAAAGTTCTCTGAGTTTCTTCTCAGAAGTTCTCTGAACTTCTTCTCGGAAGTTCTCTGAACTTCCTCTTGAAAGTTTTCTGAACTTCTCTTTGGAAGTCCTCCGGCTTCTTGCCGGAAGTTCTGTTAATTTCTCCTCGGAAGTTTTGTGAACTTCTCCTCGGAAGTTTTGTGAACTTCTTCTCGGAAGTTCTCTGAACTTTTTTTCGGAAGTTCTCTGAACTTCTTCTCGGAAGTTCTCTGAACTTCATCTTAGAAGTTTTCTGGACTTCTTGCCGGAAGTTCTGTTAATTTTTCCTCGGAAGTTTTGCGAACTTATCCTCGGAAGTTCTTTGAACTTCTTTTCTGAAGTTCTCTGAACTTCATCTCAAAAGTTTTCTAAACTTCTCTTTGGTAGTCCTCTGGACTTCTTGCCGAAAGTTCTCTGAACTTCTTTTCTGAACTTCTTCTTCGAAGTTTTCTCAGAAGTTTTCTAAACTCCTCTTTGGTAGTCCTCTGAACTTCTTGCCGGAAGTTCTGTTAATTTCTCTTAGGAAGTTTTGTGAACTTCTCCTCGGAAGTTTTGTGAACTTATCCTCGGAACTTCTCTGAACTTCTTTTGCTGTTGTTCTCTGAATTTCTTTTCTGAAGTTCTCTGAACTTCTTCTCGGAAGTTCTTTGAACTTCATCTTGGAAGTTTTCTGAACTTCTCTCTGGACTTCTTGCCGGAAGTTCTGTTAATTTCTCTTCGGAAGTTTTGTGAACTTATCCTTGGAAGTTCCATGAACTTCTTCTCTGAAGTTCTCTGAACTTTTTTTCTGAAGTTCTCTGAACTTCATCTCAGCAGTTTTCTGAACTTCTCTTTGATAGTCCTCTGGATTTTTTGCCGGAAGTTCTGTTCTGTTCTGTTAATTCTCCTCGGAAGTTTTGTGAACTTCTCCTTGGAAGTTCCCTGAACTTCTTCTCTGGAGTTCTCTGAAGTTCTCTGAATTTCTTCTCGGAAGCTATCTGAACTTTATCTTGGAAGTTCTCTGAACTTCTTTTCTGAAGTTCTCTGAACTTCTTCTCAGAAGTTCTCTGAACTTAATCTTGGAAGTTTTCTGAACTTCTCTTTGGAAGTCCTCTGGACTTCTTGCCGGAAGTTTTGTTAATTTATCTTCGGAAGTTTTGTGAGCTTCTCCTCGGCAGTTCTCTGAACTTCTTTTCTGAAGTACTCTGAACTTCATTTATGAAGTTCTCCGAACTTCTTTTCTGAAGTTCTCAGAACTTTATCTTGGAAGCTTTCTGGACTTCTTGCCGGAAGTTCTGTTAATTTTTCCTAGGAAGTTTTGTGAACTCATCCTCGGAAGTTCTTTGAACTTCTTTTCTGAAGTTTTTTGAACTTCTTTTCTGAAGTTCTTTGAACTTCTTTTCTGAAGTTCTTTGAACTTCTTTTTTGAAGTTCTCTAAACTTCTTTTCTGAAGTTCTTTGAACTTCTTTTCTAAAGTTCTCTTAACTTCTTTTCTGAAGTTCTCAAAACTTCTTTTCTGAAGTTCCCTGAATTTTTTTCTGAAGTTCCCTGAACTTTTTTTTGAAGTTCTCTGAACTTCTTTTCTGAAGTTCTCTGAACTTCTTCTCGGAAGTTCTCTGAACTTCATCTCGGAAGTTTTTTGAACTTCTGTTTGGAAGTCCTCTGAACTTCTTGCCGGAAGTTCCGTTAATTTATCTTCGGAAGTTTTGTGAACTTCTCCTCGGAATTTGTTTAAACTTCTCCTCAGAAGTTCCCTTAGCTTCTTCTCAGAAGTTCTCTGAACTTCATCTCGGAAGTTCTCTGAACTTCTTTTCTGAAGTTCTATGTACTTTTTCTCGGAAGTTCTCTGAACTTCATCTTGGAAGTTCTCTGAACTTCTCCACAGAAATTCTTTTATGAAGTTCTTTGAAATTCTTTTCTGAAGTTCTCTGAACTTCTTTTCTGAAGTTCTCTGAACTTCTTTTCTGAAGTTCTATGAACTTTTTCTCGGAAGTTCTCTGAACTTCATCTTTGAAGTTCTCTGAACTTCTCCTCAGAAGTCCTCTGAACTCCTTGTCGGAAGTTCTTTTAATTTCTCCTCGGAAGATCTCTGAACTTCTTTTCTGAAATTCTCTGAACGGCTTCTCGGAAGTCTCGATGAACATTTCAAATGGTCCTATCTGCTTTGATCGATTCTCTTCATCGACTTTCTCTTTCGTTAATAACTCAGCTGCAAAACCTTTCCCTGTTGTATTTGACGTTTTGGACGCTAGATAAGAACCTCCTTTATCAAACTATGTGGTAGAATTAGCGCGAAATCAGTTTGCATAGCAATGGTTATGAAAAGAGAAAGTCGATGAAGAGAATCGATCAAAGCAGATAGGACCATTTGAAATGTTCATCGAGAAGTGCTCTGAACATCTTCAGAATATCTGAACGTCTTTTCGGAAGTTCTCTAAATTTCTAGTCGGATGCTCTTGTGAACTTCTCGTCGGACCTTCAGACTTAAATAACTTCTCGTAATATATCTTCGGAAAATCTCTGAATTACTCGTCGGAAGTTCTTTAAACTGCTCTAAAAGGTCTCTAAACTTCTCGTAAGAAGTTCTCTGAACCACTCGTCGGAAATTCCCTTAACTTATTGTCGGACGTTCTCTGAACTTTTCGTCATACTTCAGGGAACTTTGATTGTGAACTTCAGGAAAGTTCTGTTTACCTAACGGGGTTTTTTTTAAGTACTCTAAACTTAAGGGCAGATCTGTAGAATTTTCTAAGGAAGTTCTGTGAACATCTTGTTCCGTAAATTACTCGTGCACTTTTCGTTGAACTGTGACCTTTTGTGAACTTCCTGTTAAGTTCAGAGAATTTCGCCTGAAGTTCAGAGAACTTCCTTTTAAGATCTGAGAAGTTATCAGATCATTCAGAAATTGCATAGAGGAACTCTTTAAAACTCCTTCGGAGTAGTTCTTCAAGGAAGTATTTTAAACTCTAAAGAAGTTAAGCGTACTTCAAAGTTGTTTTGTGTACTTCAGAGAAATTATTCGAACGTCCAAAATTTCTGAGAACTTATCCGAATTTTTGCAAACTTCATTTTTAAAGAAGTGATCTTCAAATATCATGTCTAAGGTTGAAGTGACTGACATGTTAATTCACCAGGACAGTGAGCCACCTCACATCTCACACCACACAGAATAGGGCAGAAATCAAAATCTCTGCACTATGTATAGCCTCTCTGAAGTTTATTGAAAATTGGTAAGAGTATTTGAAAGTTTGTAAAACCACTCTGAAGTAGGACAGACTTCATCAGAACGCATTGGACGTTTCTTAGGGCAGCAGAGTTTAGCTGAAATTTGCAGAACTTCTATGAAGTTATCTGAACTTCTATGATGTATGCAGAACAGATTTGAGATGCTTAGTGTAATTTAGAGAACTCTACTGAAGCTATTTGAAGTTTGTCGAGCTCATCTGAGTTTCAAATTTGTCTGCTCATTGCAGATTGGCGAATAATGAGAAGCTAGAGAATATGACGGACTTGACAGGAAATAGATTGAACGATTGAACTTTTAAAGGAAGTAGGTTTACCTACTCGGTATGCAGAGGAAATTTGGTGTATAGTTGGGGAAGCTTGGAAAGTACAAGGGTGAATGTGACGATGGTACGAGAAAATACGATGCACCGTTGGTTGGAGCTTGGAGACGGTGGGGAGTCGTTGGGTGTTATCGGACTTGTTAGTGTTTGACTTACGGGTGAGGACTTGTTGGTGACTTAAGGGTGAGAGTTATGGGCTGGTTGGCAAATCGCTGGAACTAGTTGAACAGTACGCAATAGAAGCGCCACCTGACAATGCAAGCCTGTTAGATCAAGTGGTCTCACCTGTCCCGCTACAGCCGGTGAAACTTTTCGCAACCTGAAAATTTTTCTACTGGTCTACTGAGTTTTGTGTGTTGTCCGTTGTCTAGTGTTAAGTGCTCAGTCTGTGCAATCTCTGGTTGAAGACGGTGTCAAATCTCTTATTTACTCTTCAACGAAACACAGCGATTTGCCGACCAGTCCAAAATACTTACCCCCTCAAGTCCACGGAAAAACACTAACAAGTCCGATATCACATTCGCGATTCCTCGTATTATGCTGACGATGAGCAGCGTGATCCTTGGTCAATCCGCAGTACTGCATCTTTGAAATAATCTTCTTACACGACGTTACAATGGCCCTTATTATCGATGCCATTTGATTTACACGGCAATCACTTCACCTCTTCACCGTGAAGCAACACTCGTAATAAGGGCCAATATCCAACTGCCTAAGAGATTGCTTGTCGCATACTTCATCCAGCAACCTAAAACACGTCGGCATGATCAAAGTTAATGACGCCTGCTGGATCGTCACTAATCACTCCATAGTTTTATGTTTTCTGAAAGGCAGTGGGTATCTTTTATTAAAATTGAACTGTCTTCGTTGAACAAAATAGAAGTTGACTTCTTCCAACGTCGACAACTGAATTCACTCACACCTCGACATTCTCTTCTATGCGAGAGAGAATGGCTGCGTGCTTCCTAATTTGTATCCTCTTTTGGTGCTTACCGAATGGGGTATTCCAATTTAATCTAGATTTATGAAAATCTCGATGAAGCTTACCGCCTTAGAGTTCTCCTCTGAAATACCGTGGCATCCCTGTTCACAATGGTCCATTTCTTTTCAAATGAATCAAATGTGCCAATTAAAAACTGTCAGATTACCGGGGGTCTAAACAAACCTTCGATCCTCATCGAGAAGTCTCATAAAGGCTCGCTGGATTTTCTCATATCTTCGCTGTAGATGCATCATTTCAAAAGCTAGACATTTCTTCAAGCTTCTCCTTCTCCGACAGAGTGTTTCCGAACTTTGAAGTTCAGCAAATTTCTATTGGAAAAATCCCAAACTCTTCTGTTGAGTACCATTTGAGTTTTCCTTAGGTTCATATAATTTCTTTGGAAGGCCTGGGAATCTCCATTTTGTTAGAAATCCTCTGACCAACCGTCGGCAAGAAGCCTCTTGAAAGATCGGTTGAAGTCGGCAAGAAGCCTCTTGAAAGATCGCTTGAAGTCCTCATATTATCTCTGAAAATCCTTATATCTAGACCAACAGTTGAAATAGGCGAAACAACCAAACGTAAACAATGGCTTTAAACGAAAATTTCTCGAGATTCAGAATACACCCACGCAAATTAACAAAGCCATTCGATAAAAGAAGTGTCCTCTTTCAGATGCTGGTGTTAGATTGCGTGGATGTATTTAGATTTTCGTGAAATTTGCGTTTAAAGCCATTGTTTACGTTTGGTTGTTCCGCCTATTTCAATTGTTGGTCTAGATATCTTCTTTGGAAATCCACCCCTGGAAGATCAATGAATAAGTTCCCAAACTCTACTGTCTGAAAGTTCTCCAAACACCTTCGGTTTCCTACACGGCCAATGAGAACGTCCAAATTTGAGTTTAGTTTACTCATAAATCTTTTCAAGTGCAGGAACTCAGCGATGAGTAAATTTGCCTCATGTTTTTCCCGGTTTGTCCAGGAAAAAATCCCGAATATGAGAAAAGTAAAGATTGGATTCACTCAGTCTGTTGGTACTACTCCTAGACTGAGTAAAATTTTCGTCAGTTTTCAAGAGGCAAATTTATTCATCGCTGAGTTCCTGCACTTTCGGCGATGATGAGTAAACTGAACTCAATTTGGGGTCGTTATCATTGGCCGTGTAGTGCATTGAAAAACTCCCTCTTACTTCAGTGGTGATCTTTTAAATCATTTCCGTGGTTGGCAACTTTCTATTCCAACCAACGCATGCATTTGTTTATTGTGTGGCAAAAAATGTCCAAAGCTAAAAATGTTCTAGACCGAACCGGAAATCGAACCCGCCGTTTCCGTCTCGTCGATACCGTGCTTTACCTTACCAGGCTACTTGAGACCCCCAACAAGCCCTCCTAACTTCCCTGAATCCTTGTCAAGACAAGTCCCATTCCCACTCATTTTGTCCGACACTGCGCACCCACGTCTTCTTCTGCTTCTCCTCCTTCGGGAAAGGAATGAAATCTTATCGTCATCGCCGCCGCCGCCGCTGCTGCCACCGCCACCCCCAACCGCTTACCTCACCATGTGGATCCGCTTGGCGTGCATCACCAGGTAGCGCTTCTGCTTGGTGCTGAATCCGCACAGCGGACACTGGTACGGCAGGGTTTCCACGTGCGTCAGTTTGTGCTTCTGCAGGCACTCCGGATTGTTGAACTTCTTGTCGCACTGGTTGCACGGGAAGTTCCGCTCGTTCATGTGGACCAGCTGATGACTAGTGAGGTGGTTCCGGTAGCGGAACTTTTTGTCGCAGAACGTGCAGGAAAACTTGACGGCCGCATCGTCGTGGATGCGCTGGTGGTTGTACAGGGCGACGTTGGTTTTGAACCGCTTCGAGCACGTCTCGCAGGTGAAGTTCCGATCGCGCGAGTGCACCCCCGCCACGTGGTTGTTCAACAGTCTTTGGTTTCCGAATTTTTTACTACAGTACGTACAGGAGAAATTTTTGATGTTCAAGTGAACCTGGTTAATGTGATACGAGTACGCGCTTCGATTGGCTAGGGTCTTTTCGCAAATGTAACAGTACAGCTTCCGGACGTCTCCCGGTTTCGTGTCGGCGGCAGCTGGAACCGTGGCCGCTTCAGCCGGATCAGCCAGCGGATCAGGGGGAGACTTTGCATCGTTCTCTTTGTTGGCCAGTTCGATTCCTTCGCCGGACTTACCTTCCATCGTCTGTTGGCTGCCTTCGCCTTCCTCCAGATCGACACCGGACGTTTGCTGTTCGTGGTCGTCTTCGTCCTCCGGCTGGGACTCGTTTTGGCCTGTTTGGCTGAACATGCTCAGGGCGTGCATGGTCATGTGTTGGATCAGGATGTTCCGATCCAGATAGTTGTCGCACTGCTCGCAGTGGAATATCTGCTCCGAGTGCTGGTCTTTCAGGTGATCCACCAGCGCGGTTTTGCTGGCGAAGGTGTTCGCCTTGATGGTGCCGTTCGACTTGCAGAAGTTGCACGTGAAAGCCTTGGAGCTCCGGGTGAAGCGTTTGCTGAAACGGAAGGGAAAGGGGCATTTCTTTTAGGAACTCTGTGTTAACATGCTGATTGCGCGGCATCAGGGAACAATTATTTTAAGAAAAAAATACGAAACGAATTATTCGTCGCGGTTTCCAAGGAATTCTTGAACTTTTCCCTTAATGCGACCCATCGAGCAGCGCACAACGGTCTCGTCCACTATTTTGGCGATTTTATCCCACCAATTTTTCATCTGACCTGTCGTTTTGATGACTGTACCTTTGACCTTCAGTTTCCTCTTCATAATTGTCCAGTAGTTGTCAATGGGCCTGCACTGGGGACAATTGGGCGGATTGAGGGTTTTCGAATCAAACCGGACTCCGTTGTCATTGTGCCATTGTTGTACTTGCCGGCTGTAGTTACAACACGCAAATCCGGTCAAAATATCACTGGACCATCATGTGATTGGATGAAGGGCAGAATTTGCTTCTGGAGGTATTCGGTTTTGTAAACCTCCGAGTTCATCATTTTCTCATTGGTGAAAACCTTTGTCTTCTCCTGGTCCTGGAAGCTGTCCGAAGTCGGCCTTTACATAGGTTTCTTCATCCATAAGTAAGCACCCACCGGACTTGGTCAGCAAGTTGTCATACAGCTTTCGAGCACGAGTTCTAGCTACGGTATTCTGCTTGAGTGATCGATTTGGTTGTCTACTGGCCTGTAAGCCTTCGCGTTAGCGAATTTGCTGCACTGTACCACCGGTTGGAAACTAACGATTTACCATTGGCTCACTACTAGACTAGCCTATTGGTCCCAAGTAATTCGATTAACGTACCCCATTCTAGTCGAAATTCTAATACTACAGAATGTTTGTTTTGATTTGCTATGGAAGTTTGACAGATAAAATGAGGGGTTCGTGGATTTTCTTATGTTTCGAGGGGTACATCGATTAGCTTGGGAACGAAGATAGTACTAAAGTTGAGCCAAAAAGTTGAGCACGTTTCTTCCGTCTCTTCTGGTCTTACAGCTACCTCTATGACTTACAGTACAGTCGAACGGCATCATACTTTTTACTCAAATTGCGATCGGACATAACTGGGTTGCTTCTGCTGGACCTCACGACCTTTCCATGCAGCTGACAGTTGGCAGGTCCACCATAAACTTTCATAGCGATTCAAAACAAACATAGTGTAGTACTAGAATTTCGACTAGAATGGGGTACGTTAATCGATGTGCTTGGGACCGATAGGCTAGTCCAGTGTAAGCCAATTGAAAATCGTTAGTTTCCACCGTCTGGTTCCACTCCGACGTTTACTTTGGGGCTTTCGATTCGTCGTCAATGTTTCCCTGTACATTTTGAGCACGCGCCATACGGTGTTTCTAGGAAAAATCAACACTTTATCCAGCTTTAACGCGGACCACGATGGATTTTACCCGTGACTGTGCACGATTTTTTCTACCCTCAAGGTGACTGTCTCCAGAAGTTGTTCCAATCGAACCGTCAAAATGCACTGCTTTGCTCGATTGGAACAACTTTTTTCAGTTTTGTGGTGACAGTCGTCCATACTTTTACTAGAGTGCTCGACAGTTCGGACCAAACCGTCATTGCCCGGATAGACGGCTGTGATGCAACCCAACTTCCAGTTGAGTGGTGATTGGTTTCGGTCGTGGAGCAGAACAACCATGTTCTCATGGATGTTCGGCGTAGTTCGTAGATTTATCTTCCTGGGTTGCAGGGTGGTCAGGTAGTCACAGCTCAAAGCGCGCCAGTTAGACGCGTTGTCTTGACGCCTCTTCCAAAGATGGCTCAGTCCCGGCTGCAGTCAAGTCCGCCAAGAGCTATCTGAAGCGTATCGTCGGCACTGAGAGGGCGTCCGATTAGATAGTGAGCTGGCGTGATCACCAGCGGGTCTGCTGTTGGAGATGGTGAACAGTGGTCGAGAATTCAGCACCGCTTCGAACGGTGGGTAGCTCCTCGAACGTGAGCTTTACACGTTCGAGGAGCTACCCACCCTTCTGGTTGAAAACGAAGCGCTGCTGAATTCTCGACCACTGTTCACCATCTCGACCACTGTTCAACGACCCGGCAGACCCGCTGGTGGTCACGCTAGCTCACTATCTAATCGGACGCCCTCTCAGTGCCGACGATACGCTTCAGATGGCTCTTGGCGGACTTGACTGCAGCCTCCCAAAGGCCATCGAATTTGGGTGCATCCGGTGGGATGAAGTGCCACCCGATCTCATGGTTGTGGCAGAATTTTCGATGGTGTCGACGGCTTGCTGATCTCGGAAATGTTGGCACCTCGGCAGTTGGAAGCTCCTCATCGTCCAAGGAATCGCTTCAGTTACATCAAGAAGGCATCGGTGCTTAACTCGGATACCGCTTCTAGGTGGTCATACAAACAAAGACGGTCACATAGGATTTTACCAGGGCAGGATGGCGCACACTTAACCTAATCAGGAAAGGCCCGACGTAGTCCACTCCGGTCACGGCAAATGGGGGCGCCCGTACCACTCTCGATGCTGCCAGATTTCACATCAGATATTGGTAGGGTTAATTCGGAAGCATCTCACACACTTACGTGTAATCTGTCGGATGGTGGAGCGAGCGTTCATAAGCCAATATCGTTGGCTCATGGCGTTCCTCAGGCCAGACTGTCCGACGTGAAGATGTTCAACGTGCATTTGCCGAACGAAGAGGCGTACCACCGGATCCTTGTCTCGTAAGATGATGGGATGACGGTCTTGAACGGTAGTTGTGAGCGATCGAGTCGACTTTGGCAACAACTCGTTGAATCCCGTCCGCCAAATGAACGAGTTGACCTACGCAGTTCCGGGATCGTCAGGTGTTGGCTTGTCTTCCGCTCGGCAGGGTTCTTCATTCGGCAGTTACCAACGAATCGCAAGACGTAGCCCATAAGGCGTTGGATTTTCCGGAAGCTGTTGTATCTGGACAGCGACGGTGACGATGACTGGTTTCAACAATGGATCTGGAACTTCTCCGGGTGGTTGTGTGTCGTATTTCACTCTCGGGAGGAACTCAGGGCCATTCCACCAAAGGCTGTTGTTCTCCAAGGCTCCAGCTTGTTGACCACGAGAGACTCCCACCGGTATCCACCGGTGGACGAATAATTGGAGTTGGTTGAGCGGTTTCGCACCAAAGTACAATTTCCCGGAACTCCATATCCAGGCCGGTTAATACCTTCAAAACTAACCGGGTCAGCAGGAGAGCGGTGCAAAGCTCTTTTCGTGGGATGGAAAGACCGTGAAGAGGGACCAACTTGGATTTGCTGGGAAGTTGAACAGGCTTCGTAGGTAGATGCAGGCCCTGTACGCCACTGTTAAGGCAATTCTTGAAATGTCACACACCTTGGGTTGTGCAAATGCTAAAACGAATCTTGAAGTTCTTGCTATCGGCAGAAGTGGGAACAATCGGACTGGTACTCATACTTGATAACACCTTTCGTCTTCAGGTCCTTGGAGTAGTGAAATTTTGTTGAAATGTGTTTGGTACGGTTACTGAACTTTTCGGAGTCCAGCATCTTCAAACAGCTTTGGTTGTTTTCGAATAATATTCCCCTGCAGCCAAACCGCTTCTTGGGATGCTTCGGAAAGAGCCACGAATTCCGCCTCTGCTGTAGATAGTGAATCGCAGGATTGCTTTCGGCATGCCCATGCAATGGTTCCTCCGCAGTATTTGAATACATATCCACTACTCAGTCGAAGCTTCAGATCAATCGTCCCCTTCAGGTAGCGAACCATTCGCTTCAACTCGTTCCAGTCACGTTGGGTTGGGTAACTCATCTTACGACTCAAGATTGAGATTGCCGTTGCGATGTCAGGTCTGCTGTTGACTGCGATGTACAACAGCTGGCCAACTACCTTTTGATATTCTTGATTATTTGGGAGCTGGCCATCGTTATCTTCCGTCTTGATGTATCCAGGATCAATTGGCACGGTTGACACTTTCGCATCCTGTAGGCCAACAGAACAGATGACGTCTTCAATATATTTCCGCTGGTTGATAAGAAAATCTCCAGCATGGTCTCGATCGACTTCGATCCCGAGGTAAAACTTGACATCACCGAGGCAGCTGATCTGGAAATTTCTTGCAAGCGTTCGCTTCAATGCGTCGATCATGCGTTCATCCTCGCTCGCTACGATGAGATCATCCACATACACGAGAACATAGCACCACTTGGCTACCAGCTCGCTTTCTGTACAGGCAGGGATCTGCGTCACATCGCTCAAAACCATCCGCTTCCATCACCTCATGCAGTCGCTCGTTCCAAGAACGAGCCGCTTGCTTAAGCCCGTACAAACTTTTCTTTAAATGGCATACCTTGTTTTCCATACCGCTGACGACATACCCGGGAGGCTGCTTCATGTAGATCTCCTCCTCAAGGTTGCCGTTGAGGAACGCCGTTTTTACGTCGAATTGCTTGACGATCATCTTCTTCTTGGCTGCTACAGACATCATGGTGCGGAACGTAACGTGTGGAACGACTGGCGCAAAAACTTCATCGTAGTCCGTCCTAATGTACCGAACTACATTGCCATTTTCGTCTCGCTTCTGTTTATACACTCACTTGCATCCAATGGCGCGGCTACCCGCCGGCAGGTCGACTATATCCCAGACGTCGTTTTCTTCGATGGATGCTAGCTCTTCCTTCATGGCCGTGCACCATTTGGCGCTGTTTGGACTGGATAACGCTTGCTTCAACGATTTTGGCTCCTCCTGAACCGAAGTTTCTGCTGTACAAGCATACCGCTCTGGAATAGCTCCGAGATTAACTCTTGTTGATCTTCGAGGTAGAATGACATCTACACTGGACATGCTCCCGTCCACACGAACGGCATCGGACTGCACTTCGATTTCACGGAGAGTTGTTTCGTCCGGTTGTTCATCTGGATCATCCCAGACATCGTTGTCATTCGATTCAGTTGATCCTGGCCCACTCATTAGGTCCACTCGTTCGAAACAGATGGAAGGTACAACCAGACTTTCTCCCACCGAACCTGGCATGGGCCCGCAAGA